CGTCGTCCCTTATAATGGTAGCATACTGATTATTGCATTATACCCCTTTTGTTTTATAATCAGTTCAATTGTATTTGATAACATTGTATTCAGTTATGTCCCATGAATGGGACTCTACTGATATTTCTCTAGTTTAAACAATATCAAACCAAGAAAGAATATTGATAGCAATTGGCTTTAATAACGACAAGAACTTGAAAAACTACAAATTCGCAAGTTTTGTCGATTATTACTTTCATCTCTGCAGCTCTCACATCTGTTAGTCGGTGTTTGCAATTAACCCTAAGAAAAGAACTACTGTAAAATACTTCAATTTTGCCTGGAATTATTTTTGATGGGATGATTCAGTGAAAATAAAATCCAGTGAATACATGTATACCTTTTTTCCTATACTTTACATTCAACTTGTCAAAAATAAGTGAAAATAAATTCCATACAAAACACACAATTTTTAGCCAAAATTAATTTCAGCTAAAATAAAGTATTTTACAGTATTTTTATGCTAGGATCTCTACTTTCTGAATAATAAACATAACACTTTTCATAGTTTTTCTAGTTACCAATGACTACCCCTTTTAGCCATGACTTTTCCCCAATGTTCACCCATTTTAGCAATGATTCTTTCCTAAAACTCTAAAACTGGTAATAAACCTACCTCATTGGTTTGAAGACGACAATTTGGTCATTCTCAAGACTAAGCAGCAATTTCAGCTGCGTACCTTTATAACCAACATCGGCCTTCGTTATCTTAGAGTTCGCCATTGCGTATAAAACCGTTCCAAGATCAGGTGCTATCGCTGGAATGATCTCACGAGATTTGACCCAATCAGCGGCCAACGTCCATATATCATGAAGGTTATCAAAGTCTCCATGGACGTCTAAATCCTGACCGACGTTCACATCTTGATCATTATACTTAGGTTCAAAACCATCAAAATCCTGTCCCACATCCAAACCCGGAATAAACTTGTCCACATCTTCATTTTCTTCCTGGAAACGATTCTGGTAGTTTGGAATGATGACTCGTTGATGTGACGGTGGAAACGGAGCGTGTAAATCAGACATCCTTGGAGCTGGAACATCAGCCATCCCATCCCATAGTACATTGGAGGTGAGAAACATCCAAATAACAGCAAACAAACATGCCAGAAAGACAATCAACAGTCGCTGCCTAAAAAACTTTGTAATTTGAAAACGCATGGCTCGTTTCTTCCAACAATATTTTTCGAACAATATAAAAAAACTTTAATCTTCACTGAAATAATTCCATATGGTATGCCTGCAT